TTTTTGCCTACAAGTTAGTAAGTTGCATATCAGCCTGGTTCTATCATGAGCCAGTCTATATATAAGAGTTACTGGGTGAAATTTTATGGCCCGTATTACGCAGGAGGTCAGATCAGCTAACAATATTTTTAAAATCTCTGAACCTATTTGAAACCAGGCCTGGGTCTGTTGCAGTCACCATGAACAGCGAACATAGAACATCTCACCATGTTCTGGGCAGAAGATCTTCTCCTGCACCACCTTGGTTTTCCTTGCGTGAACTGACCTGGAAGCAGTTTTAGCAGATACCAAAGTGCTTATCTCCCCACTTCACCGGCTGTCCACCTGTCCGGTTTGCATCCATTTCTGTTTGCGTAGGTGGAATGGTAAAGCAGAGTGGGACAGCTGAAAGCTCTAGTGTTGCTACTGTGACCAACCGCCACCACTTGCAAGCAAAACACCGAGTGCTGGAATCGCTGTCATGACGGTGAGGAAGGGGAAGGTGCAGGCGTCCTGGTCCTGGCACTCGGAGGCTGGACTAGTGGCAAGTAGTTGGGGAAGTCTGCCAAGGACCGTTCTCCAGTCCCCGTTCCTGCACATGCTTGTGCCACCGTACAATAGTCCCACACATACTTACTCAGCATCTTACCGAAGTCAAGTTGCTGCAAACGGGGGAGTTTCTCCAGGGGCAGGAGGTGGGGGTGGTAGGAATGTTTTCCTACCCAGGCCTGTTCCATGGCTGCAACTCCACCTTCACGGCTGGAGTAGCCTCCACGTCTCCCGTGCCCCTACTTCACAGCAGGGAAATGGCCTGTGGATGCATTCCAGTTGTACATCCACTGCCCCCAGCTCCAAGTCCTCGCTGAGCAGAGGAACAGGCGGCCTCTCCGGCATGCGACTCCCCACGTCCTGCCTCACCCCAGCCACACTGGTTTAATGACAAGAGCCCGCCCTGGCTGCAGGACGGTGACGGAATTGGCCCCAGAGAGGCGAGCTGCCTCCGCTCAGCTCAGTGGAGCCTTCCTCAGAATTTTCTGCCTCGATCTTTGATTCACCCTTCCAAACTGGCGTCTGAGCAGAACCTCCAGGCGGCTTCGATCACCCCCTCCTGCCCGCTCCACACCCTCCCACTCTCCCAGCTCTGACGCAGAAGAGCCTGGAGAGTCCAAGTTACAGACCTAAGCCAAATGTC